TTTAACAACAGCTTTTTCGTAATAATACCCAAGGACAGATTTGCACTAATTTCGACTTATTTTTCACAGGAGTCTTCCCAACTTTCTTATTCAGATCATATCTGGCTTAACGGCATAATGATGTGATGTACCACAAATAATGCCATGCCTGATCTTGTCCTGGGAATTCCTTGACAGGCTTTTATACAGCAGATAAAGTGCCAAAATTTAGGAGCTGTTTACACCCATGTTAGAGTGATTAAATTAAACTAAAATGGGAATGAGCAATCAAAAGAGAAATTACTACAGGAGATAAAGGGGAATTGGACTTGTGTAACTCATGAAATTTGAAGGAATCGAGCATGACCAGCTGACTGACACTTGACTTTTATCTATCTCTCTATATATATTTCTAGTATTACAAGAATAAGAGTAGTCTACCATTACAACCACCTTTGTACCATGTTCCCATACTATCCTCTATTCTACAGTATATTTTTTCTTCAATATTCTGGCTCTCTCATTGTCTAATCCTAGTTTAAGATTACCCTTACAGATGAGTTAATAGCACTTGCAAACAAGCCAGCCCCTACTCTTCCTTCCATTAACCTTTAGCTTTAACCCCAGTGACCTACTTATAACTGTATCCAAAGCTAAATATAGACAGTATCCCTGACAGATTATGACCCTTTTCTTTAAATGCCTTTTATTAATGTCTTGTACTTAACAATTAGCTCCTTTGGTCTACCATTACCAACATCACTAACCCCTATGTGCACTAAAAAACACTATCAGTACTAGCATCCTTTACTATATAACTTGCCCTGTCAGTTATATCCTCCACTCCTGCCCCTAGATAGCATAAACTAACTCTTATCACCTTACACACTATCTTGTGTAGGTGCCTTAATAAAAAAAATCTCCTCCAACAATACGATATTTATGTTTTTAATTCCCATCCCTAGCTGTCACTTTTATTTATTATTCCCTCTTCAAATTCATCACGTACACAAGCCAAAGGCTGAAATCTGTTCTTTACCAGAGTCTGCATTTATAATTAAATCTACCACCACCAGCTCTATTATTAATGCTTTCAACTTCCCAAAAGTTATCACTATCTCCTGTATCCTTCACATGCAAAAGCTAAATTTCCTCTCCACACCCTGCTGCCACCTCCCACTGTTTATCATTCTCCTTTTCCACCACCTCTACCCCATTCAAAACAGCCTCTATACTGTTAAAGTACTCAGTATATATAGGTTCACTGGGTAGGAGGGCCCTGTATTGAGAAAGATTGGGAACCCATGTTATAGGCAACAATTGTATTATATAAAAACAACTATTAATTTGTTAACAGTACACATTTCTATGAATAAACAAAAACACTTCCTTCATAATAAATTCTGTAATAACTCTGAATAGCAATAAGTAGAGCAGGGTGATTAACTCAATCAATTAATTAATTACCTATCAGCATTCATTACATCAGTTATTTAGTGTTAAGTAAAATAATCAATTAATCAAAATTAGGACTAAATTGATTGTCACAAAAATAATCAGCTAGTGTTTACAATTATTTCAACTATCTAGTAACCCAAATTACAACTATTTAATTTCAGAAAAATTATCAACTTATCAAAATTAAGTTTCCAATTTTTACTGTTTGAATATTCTAACTATCCAGTAATTAAAACAGTCATTACGATTTTTAATTATTATTTTTGATTAATTTAAGATTGTTCATCTTAATTGATTGGTGTCACAATTCACAAAAGTAACCAACAAATTGAAATTAGTTCTGATTATTACTATTTTTATTTATTCCAACCATCCAAGTAATAATAATTTTGTCATTATGTTTGTTTAGATTAAAAGATTAACTGTTTTATCTATTATATGCAACACTTTACAGAAAACCACATGGAAAGGCACCTTTCAGAGCTGAATAAAGTCTAACCTATTGGAGCCAGAATGGATTAATAATGTGTTCAGAATTAGTCCCCATACTGTTTACATATGTTGGAGGCCCCCTCCAGAGGTATGTGCAAGTGAACTAAGAAACAAAGTTGGAAAATGCATTTTCTAGACAAGAAAAAAAAAGATTAACCATTTAACAGCTTCAGATTCAAGTTTACTTGTGATCTCTTCACTTGGAAACCACTTATTTTATCTTAAAAAATATATTTTGGATTAAAAACTCTAAACTGATAAATAGCAAATATTATTATTATCATTATTATGTTTATCTCTACTTATTGAAATATGTTCGGTTTCTTCATTAAAAACAAAGAATCTAACATATTAATGCTTTCAAATTAAAGATACCATTTTATTTCAGACATCTGAATGTATTAGAAAACACCAGTGCAAAATAAATAAATCCAGAGCATTCGATATCACAAGTAACATGATTTCATTAAAAGTTTTTTCTAAAGATTACTGTTTACAAAATTGCCATTTTCCTTTTAATCATTGCAACATTATTATATTTTCTCAGGTCTCAATTATTTGTAATTGAAATTGTATTAAACAGCTAGAGAAAGTTCAAAGCTCCTCTTCCACATTACCTTTAACAGTTGTTTTAAGTGCAACAAATTAAATGTATGCTACGTTAATAATGACAGTTTGGTAAGCAGTTCTCATTAAATACATATTACACTCATATGTGTATGACAAACTAAAAATGTCTATTCCTTTTTATCATGATGCAGCATTTGTACTGTACAACAATCCTTGATTTATAATTTGTGTGTAGGTTTTCTGTAACTTTTAAACTTTATTCACTGTATAATCCTTCTTGTCATTTGCTTGTAACCTTTAGGACAGTAGTAGGAATTGTTAAGTTCGCTATTTGCAATGTTCTTAAGCAGTTATTCAGTATTTAAGCACATTAAGTATTTTTCATAATAAATATGTTATTTGTAGGGCATAACATGATTATTATATTGCCTATTAAAATTTACCCCCCCCCCCTCATTTTTGTTAGGAAAGTGTGGGAATTGCTTGCTACTTGAAAATTTGTATTTGCTTTACATTTAAACATAAACATTTTAACATGTCCCCATTCAAGTAAAAGGTACTGGCACTGTTAAAAAAGTGGATTAGTGTTTTTGATATAGAATATATGAAATGAATAACAGAATTTAATCATGCTACCTATTATAAGTTATACTATAAGTTATAGTACTACAAGTTTTTAATTACCAAAAAAGGTACTGCTATAAGGTGACCAGACATCCCAGTTACTCAACATCCTTTTGGGGATGCCTATGCATTCCAGTTTTCATATTTTTGTAAGTTATCTCCAAGGTATTTTATGCCTTCATTGCAAAGCAGAACAGGGCATATTGGATTCTCCCTGTCCATCTCAATCCTGTGGACAAAACATTTCAATACTGGAAGGACAGATTTTAACCAAACTTATTCAACAAGTACTACATAAAACATTCTAGACTTCATCAACTTTGAAGGTCATGGGTCAAAGTGGAGCATAAGTGTTTAATAAGGTCAATTTATGCTTGTTTATACTTATATTCAGTACACTAAGTCTCTGACATCTATAAATCAACAGATATTTCTTTTAACAAAGTAGGGAAATTACCACATAGCCTATGTTACTTTCTCTAAAGATGGTAATAATGAGGCTGCAGCAGACAACACAATGTCACTTTTGCACATGTTACTGACCATGTGATTTTGCACTTCTCAAAGCAAGAAAGTTGAATGCACTTGGTAATCATAAATAATATTCAACATTAAACATTTGATTTTCAAGTCATGAAGCATTTATTTAAAGTAACTCTAGGATGAATACTTAACAACAGTTACTTAGAATTTTGCAACAAACTTCTGGTCAACAAGTAACTCAAAACAATTCACTTGTCAGATAGGTATCTCTAACAGCAACAATAAAAAAAACATCCTTTTCATTTTATAATAATTATTGTTTACATAATTATTTATAATTTCCCCTAAAAAAGGAGGGGGTTCCAGTTTTAAGATCTGAATATCTGAGTGCATCCAAGATTTATTATTTGAAAATTGAAAATCTGGTTTCCCTGTACTGCCATGTGTAAACTGTAACTGTGTAACTGTAAGTGTAATGCTGGGATAAACATTAGGCCAAAAACAGTTTCTAACTTCTAAGTTAATAATAATGCATTTACTTTTAAAGAAATTTTAGTTAAAGCTAATTAGGAAAATAGAAATACAACATGCATATCTATGATCATTTGCTTACGAAAAATAAAACCAAAACTAAATATATTATGACGTGCAGTTAGGCTTAAACGCTACAACTGCTTATCGATGCTGGAAATAAAATTTCAACCCTACACTACATTAGGCTAAACCAACCTGTCCTGTTCCAGGGTCCTGCGATAGCATAACGATGACTGATGTTTTTGAGTCACATACAGAAGCTTTTGTAATTGTAATAAATCACATATTCCTTAAAATATCACTACTTTAGTGCTTACTTAAGGCGTTTTAATTCTACATATATATAATACACCAGTAAATCTTATCAAATAATTAAGTTAGAAATAAAATAAATAGCACATTCTTAATATTTGGAAATATATATATTATAATAGCTAGGATTAAGAAATCTTAAAAATGTTAAACTTTAAATCCCATACTAACATAGTATTAGTAATAAAGTAGCTTTTAAGAGTCCCGTAAACGTGATCATTAAATGATTAATGAGAGAGACTTAGTAATAGTACTAGTAGTAGTATAACAGTAACACATAAAAACTTGTGTAATATAATACTGCTTATTTAGAACATACATTCATTTGTTATTATCCCACTAATTAATTCGACATCCATGATAGAAAACACGAATAAAACTATAAAAATGTGGAACTTACGCTGTTACACTCCTTAAAATCGGAATCCTAACTTTCTGCCCCTTCCTGAACATGAAATAATCCTCACGAGTCTCGTTCAGTACTACTACCCTTCGCTGGCACCAATTACGCCCTGCTACGAAGCGCTCAGTATCGCCACCTTTACACCGCAAAATCAAATGCTTCAGAATTTTGTTAACTTGTTGCTTTAATCAAACATTCTTGAAATACAATCTTACACGGAGATAATCACATGCACATAACACAATACATCACCCAATTCTTGCATTATTGATATTATTATATTTATCATAAATTTATCTTTTTTTTCTGTATATGTGCAAGTTTCACATAACTCGTGGTCCAGAAAGCCAAGATAGCCATAGATTGTTTGTGTGTTTGGTTTGAATTTCGCGCAAAGCTACACGAGGGCTATTTGCGCTAGCCGTCCCTAATTTAGCAGTGTAAGACTAGAGAGAAGGCAGCTAGTCATCACCACCCACCGCCAACTCTTGGGCTACTCTTTTACAAACGAATAGTGGGATTGACCGTCACATTATAACGCCCCCACGGCTGAAAGGGCGAGCATGTTTGGTGTGACGGGGATTCGAACCCGCGACCCTCAGATTGCGAGTCGAGCGCCTTAATCACCTGGCCATGCCGGGCCTAGCCATAGATTATAGAAAAACCTGGGAACATTTAGACAGGGCCGGCCTTAGGGTGAGGCCACTGAGGCAACCGCCTCAGGCTCTGCACCTCAGTGACCGAGTCGATTGTATACTTCTAATATCCACACTTGAGAACCTAATCCTGAGTACTCGCCCCAGGCCTCGCACCTTCCTAAGGCTGGTCCTGCATGTAGAGCTGATTGACAAGCTGCTAAGTACACTTTGTTATTCTGCTGCCCTAGTGCAGAGATATACGTCTCATCAGATTGTCATGATTCCTTAGGGTACCTACAGTTATGTACCTATGATGTCGAAGACATCTCAGTTAGATGATAGCTAGGAAGTCATGAAGGAAATGGTATGACCACGATCACAGAGTCACCTGAACGAGGTGAAGCAGATCACTCTGCTGATATTCAATGAAGATTTGTATCATTTTCTTAACTGTTTCAGGTAGATAATTGCTTGGAATGATTATGCCTGGTTCTGAATTCAAACAGTCTGGCCCTAGACTCCATCAATGCATTTGAACGAGCACAGACTGTGGGACCGCAAAACATTTATCACTGAGTCTCACCAGAGTTTTGACCCTTTGGAAAATAGAGCAATTATCAGACCAAATTCAAGGATTAGAAAAAGGTTTCATACAAAGCTTAGCCACTTATGTGGATGATCTGTGCCATTTGGATGGCAAAGTTTACCCTGCAATGACTTCAGTAGATCATGAGGATATCCTCGTTGACAAGTTTGAGGGAGGACTACTCAGTGGGACAATGCAGTATTACCTAGATGTGAGAGATCTTCTCACCTTTACTAAGTGTAACTTTGAAGTGGTAAAACAGGTAAAGAAGGGGCCTGTGGAAGCAGCTGAAATGACTTTACCTCGCACAAACCATCATACCCAGACACTCACATAAAACCAGGTTCGAGCCCAGTTGAGATTTAACCAACCACTCACATATCTTGGCATTGTGATGTAACCACACTGGTATCCAGTGAATGGGCAAGGTTATCCTAGTTCTCCCATGGTTTACATGTCATAACCTATGTTTCTACTGCCTCTATTAGGATGCTATCCTGGAAAGGAGGATTGACATAGCTGCTTTGATGTGAAACGTTGGTTCATTTTTAAGGAAACTCTCCATATATTGCTAAGCAGGAAGGTAGACAAGGATATCATTTTCAACTAGTGGTGCAATGGGTGCAGGAGATCCAACAGCAGGCTGTGGATACACCTGTTTAAATTCTGGGAAAGTAAAGGAGCCCAAGTCAGGCTTGTCCACTGACTTGGGAGAGTGCAATGAACAGTTTGTACCACAAAGCACGGTGGTCAGCCTATCTGTCTCAGGGCTAGATAGATCTTGGTATGTATCTTTTAAAGTACAAGAACGAGAGATAGAGCTCTTGATTCATGCAGGAATTGTTAAAATACTGGTGGAGCTCACAATATGTCAGACACTCTTAACAAAACCGCCAGTCAGACTAGTGAACACGTATTTCAAATAAACTAGAAATGGATGGAGAGGTCATGCTCCGACAATGTATTGTAGGTTTCGCTTATCGAATAAAGGTGGTTATTACCAATCTCAGTTCTGGCACCAATATCCTTGGGAGGGACATACTGTGGAGCTTATCAGTCAGATTTGCCTGTGCAACCAGTGAACTGATGTTACATGTTACAGTTATCCAATGTCAGCCAGATCGATTCCAGGAACAGCAGAATGCGCAAGTGTATGTTTGAGAAAAAAGTCACAGACCACTCATGTATATAAGTGATGTTGTGTGGCTTACTACAGACAAAGTTTAGTGTATTATTTCCATGTAACACAGTTATAGAGCCCATGCATGAAAGTTGCTGTTTCCTGTCCCAAAAAACAAGCAAAATTTTCTAGGACAGTTATATGTCCGAGGGGGGATGAAATCTCAATGTTGTTCTGTAATTATGAATGATCTGCTATCTAGCCACACAATGGGATAGTCATCAGCATGGTCACTAAAGTAGAAGTAACCAATGTTAGTGATAATGCTAGGGTTGTATATGTCATGCTTATCCAAAAGTAAATATACATATACCAATACATCTTAGATCACTAGTTGAGGATTGTCTGGACAATGTAGACTCAACACAGTGGCAGCAACTCACTAACTTGTTGGCATAATATGCTGATGTATTTATTAGATCAGACTGCCAATTAGGTCAAGCAACAGTCACACACTATCACACAGATATAGGTGATGTATGTACAATCAAACACCTGCTGTACAGTCCTCCCTGGAGCATTAGAGATGTATCTCGCAGTGAAGTATAGCAGGTGTTACAGTACAGAAAGTGCTTGATCATCTCAAATAGTGATTGTCAGGAAAAAGAAATGCATACCCATAGATTCTGCATTGAATTAAAATGCGTGAACATGGTAACTCTCGTTGACATATTTCTATTTTTATAAATATATGTCTGAATGCATTGGAAGGAGCCTGTTGGTTCAATACATTAGACCTAATATCTGAATACTAGTATGTAAATCTGGATGTCTAGAGCAGATAAAAGGTTACTTTCAGCATGAGAGAGGGCTTATATGAATTTTGCGTCATTTCATTTGACCTGTATAGTGCATCCACTACTTTCAAGAGGCTAATGGAGCTCATACTGAAGGGGCTGCAATGGGAAAAGTGGCTGATCTATGTCAATGATGTAATAATGTTTAGTCGCATATTTGAATATGTAGTTGAGAAACTGACAATGGTATACCTGCAGATAAAAAAAAAGCAGGCTTAAAACTGAAACCAGGAAAATGTGCATTAATGGACACAGAAATGGAATTTCTAAGTCATATTGCGGGTTGCAAAGGAAATTTCATGGACTCTGATAAGATAGCAGAGGTGGAAGATTGACCTTCACCTGTGACCAAATGAGAAGCATACAAGTGGCTTGGTTTCACATCATATTCCCAGCAATTTGTGACCAACTTCTCCAAGACTGCCTCATATTAAAATGGAAATGTACTTCAGACGGAGTGGTTGATGAACTCTTCATAAAACTCTTTTGGCACTATTCATTTGGCAGAAAGTTCACTATTCGAGCACACCATGTGTCACGGAAGTGGTTGATGAACTCTAAAAATCCCAAATAACTGATAAAATTCTGAATAACAGCATTGCAGAAGCATTATACAAAAGGCCCACAACATGAAACTGCAGACAGTTTATCTTACTGAATGATGATACCATATTTGTTAATTTAATGTTCTGATCCTGGGTGCTGTGTGGAGGTTGAAACAATATCTGCTATAGCAATAACAAGAAGCATAACAGGAACTTCCACTAGCAAATAGATGCCATAAGTAACTGAAGGATCCAGATCTAGTGTGGATATTCCTTCCCATGCAGCAAGGTAAAGTGTGACCAGCTCAGACTTAGGAACATAACATGGGCCTACATAACTTATGGCACTGATAAGAGTAATTGCTAGTGTAGGAAGGTGTATTGTACTGTTATTATCAACTACCAATCAATGTTTGTCAACATATATTACAGTTAGCAGTCGCCAGAACTTTCAGGCACGAGATTCTCCAGACTTTGCATAACACAAAGACTAGAGGATACCGATATGTTACATGTGCTTGTGCTAATGGCCTGCTTGCCGCATTTGAATCGAGACATTCAGTGCTGATGTGAACATTGTACAATGTATATCTCCCAAAGAAAAAACAGACCTAAACAGAGTAAACACCATAAATGCTGGTTCTTCTCTGCTGAGAATAGCCCTGGATATTGATGGATATAGAACAAGGTCACCTGTATATGCTCATAGTCATCGACTACTTCAAAAAATGGGCAGAGCCTTATGCACTGGTTAACGTATCTGCATAGTCTGTGGATGGTGCACTGGATAGCTTAGCTTGGATCATCTGAACTAATCAACATGGATTGGGGAACTAAATGTAACATCCAACTGTTCTCTGAGTTATCTAAAGTGTTGGGTGTGGTGAAGATGTGCACCTTTGATGGTTTAGTATAATGGGTGATGCCGACTGTCAAACGTATGCTTGCTAGACTTGTTAACCATGACTGAACCAACTGCTTAGTGACAGTATTACTGTTAAAGAGCTGATAACGATTGACTAATTATTGTGAGGTGTAACTGAGGTGTTAGTACAAAGTTGTAGTAGTAACGTACTTTAAGGCCAGTTTGGCACTTGAGCCGAAGAGCTTGCACTGTTTAATTGTTTCCTTCGTGCAAAGCTACACAAAGGTTATCTTCACTCTGTCCACCGCGGGGAATCATGCTCCTAGATTTTAACGTTGTAATTATGTAAACTTACCGCTGTCCCACCGACGGAGTTGACTTTTAAAAAAATATTCCTAGATTTTAACGTTGTAAGTATGTAAACTTACCGCTGTCCCACCGACGGAG